CACCCACCAGGCCACCTCCAGGCTTAGCCAATCCCAAGCCTTCCTCTACCTGGGGCACCAGCCCCCTAGGCTGGACCAGCTCCTACTCCTCGGGTAAGCACTGCCACCTCCTGTTGACAAGGGTACAGGGTATTTGTAGCTGCTCTACATGCTTTAGGGGATGTAGCTGTCTTATCCCATGCCTCTTATCTGACCCCTGGAGCCTGGGAGGTTAAGAAAGAGCTGGAGCGTCATAGACCAGCAGGGCACATGCCACATAGACTGTGTCCTCAAAAAGACCATTCAGCCATTCTAGGCTTCCTACCACCTCAGCCAGTACAGGGGTCTTAATTTCTCCACAAGGTTCCATGGAAACATAATGACTTCCCGTGCTAAAAACCAAGGTCCCTCAGAAGTGCTGTGTAGCGCTGTAGAGCCCCTCCTCCAAGTGCTTGGACCACATGTGCGGTCACTGGGCTCCACTGGCAGCACGAAAGAGGAGGCACCCAGGCTGCAGGCAGCTACGGATGCCGAGAGCAGTGGCCCAGCCTTGTAGGAGCAGTCCTGCCCCACTGTGTCCACATCACTTCTTCACCAAGCAGGACTTGGTGTGTTGTCTGGGGTTGGGACAGAACAAGGTAGAGAGGGGACTTTGCAGGTGATTCTCAGGTACCCTGTCAAACCTGCCCCTCCGCACAGGCAGAAGACGACAGGCCTCCTGGGCTGGTAGGCGTATTTGGGAAGTCACGGTTTTCATGGGCCATGGATAGAATCTGCTGTGATTATGAGATGGAGTTTATCAAGAAGGGCCATGGCTTCCACGGGGTCCCAAGACGAGAGCCTGCTGTATGTTTAAGTGAGACTAGAAACGTGGCCTGTGGATTGAGTTCTTGTCCCATGGACTTGTTACACAGGTTCTGCTTGGAGTGCTGACACCTCAGGAAGAACAAGCAGCTGGCTCGTTCTGCGCAACCTCACACCCCAGGTACAGGTGCTGCTAAGTAGGGGCTGTCATGTCATACCCGTGGGTGGCTGCCTGTGGCCAAGAAGGTGACTGCCCTGCCCCTGGAGCAGGTAACCTTCTGTGTCGGGCATCTTCCTTCAGGCCTAGTGTGGCAGAGGCGAGTGTGGGGACAGGTAAGTGTGGGCAGACACAGCCACGTGCTTCTCTCAGCCATGTGCCTGGTGGCTTAGTCGCCCTTCAGCAGCTGAAAAGCAGTACTTTGATAAAGAGAACCATTCATCGCACACACCTGTTCTAGGTGATTTGGCCACCTCAGACACATGGTCAACTTGTAGTTCTCTGGCACAGAACTAGCTTGTCACCACAAGGCTACCAGGCTGCTGCTATGCCTTTTGCAAACTGCAGAACTCAGAATGGCACTTTGGCCCTTCCCTCTGACTAACATAACTAAAGCAGCCCCCGTTGCAGGTGTCTGGCCATAGAGGCATCTCTCTGTGTCAGCTGCGGTCACTAGCCTGTCAGAGGGAATGTGTTCTAGTATGCAGTACGTCCAGTTTCCATACTGCTACTGCAAAACATAGCAAGAGCTTGGAGGAGAGCATGGTCTGCCGTTTGCTTCCTCCTCAGATTGATGGTTCTACACTGCGGACGCTGTGTTTGCAGCATGGGCCTCTCATCACATTCCACCTGAATCTGACCCAAGGCAACGCTGTGGTCCGGTACAGCTCCAAGGAAGAAGCCGCCAAGGCCCAGAAGTCTCTGCACATGTATGTTTTTTCCTCAGCCCCCCCTCACACTGCCAAGTAGCCACAAGCGCCCAGTATTGTTAGGTGGGGTGAGTAAGTGTTTTGGCACCGCCCCCACACTGCAGGCCAGAACTGTGTCCTTTCCAAGCCCTGATCGTGGAAATTCAAGATCAAAGTGTGGGCAGACTTGACTCCTCCTGAGGCCTAGCTCTTCAGCTTGTAGACAGCCGTCCTCTTCCTGTGTCTTCATGTCATCACCGTGTTTGTGTCTGTCTGTCCCCTCGGAAGAGTGCAAAAGGAGTCTCTAGCCACCCAGGCTCCAGGGTTGCTCACAGCAGCCCACTGCCCACTTGAGGGTGTTTTATACATGCAGAATACATAAAGACCTGCTCTGGAGTACTGCCAGAGGTGGGGGACACCGTTAGCAGCTGAGCCCCCCATTGTACAGCACATTGAAACATGAACTCCACACATTAATCCTCTGTGGCTGCCAGGAGGTTAAAATGAGGACAAATTCATTATCTGGTTTAGAATTAACAGTGACAGCACAGCCACAAGGCTAGGTCATGATAGCCTGTGACATGTGATACTTTTGTCTGTCTTTCCTGGTAGCACAGACGCAGGACTTGGGATGACACACTTACCCAGCCTCTTACCTTCTAGGTGTGTCCTGGGAAACACAACCATCTTGGCTGAGTTTGCTGGTGAAGAAGAAGTGAACCGGTTCCTGGCCCAAGGCCAAGCCCTCCCACCCACCTCCAGCTGGCAATCCAGCAGCGGGGGCAGCCAGCCCAGGCTGGGCTCCTCAGGCAGCACCCACGGCCTCGTGCGCAGCGACACTGCCCACTGGAACACCCCATGCCTGAGTGGCAAAGGCAGCAGTGAACTGCTGTGGGGTGGGGTGCCCCAGTACTCCAGCAGTCTCTGGGGCCCTCCCAGTGCTGATGATGCCAGGGTGATCGGCAGCCCCACGCCTCTCAACACTCTGCTGCCTGGGGACCTGCTCAGCGGCGAGTCCATCTAGGGGTCACCGTCATTGGGGAGGAGAGAGCTGACCATGCCAGGCCCGGCTCTGAGGCTCCAGCTGATGGACAAGCTGCCCCTTCGAGTACCTCTGTCCAGTTTTGAAGATGAACCTTGGCCTCAGCCCTTGCGAACTGTTGAAGACAGTGCGGGCTGCGTTTGGTCCGTGTCACGTGCTAACGACAGGATGTTCCTCATAGCTTTTTATTTTTTGTCGTCTTACGTTGTACGGTGTGTTGTCATTTTGAGTTTTAAGTATAAAAGCTGCTTAGAATAGTTCTATCATGAAGGGCACTTTTCAGACTGTGGGCTGGAAAGGGTTATTTTATGGTGGGGTGGGGGGAGACTTGAAGCCTATTTAAAGTGAGCCTGTGACGATTATGCACATTACCAGAGGCGGTGGGCGGGGCAGGCGGCTGCATTGTGCAGGCACAGAGCTGAGGCGCGTGGCCAGTGCTCTGTCCCCCTGGATCCGCCTATGCACATTACCCTTCTTTCATTACTTTTTCATGTCATTTTTTTTAATCCCAAAAAAATATTTTTTAAAAGTTAAAAAAAAAAAAAGACATATCAAACATGCAAATACTTGAACCCAGCAGGCCAATACCGAAATGTGAACAGTTCCACGTTGACATCTGTGCACAGAAACAGGCTCTAGGAAATGTCTACGTTCATAGCCTACGTGTGCGTGTGCGTGTGTGCTTGTGGAACAGTGTGTATGTGCGCATGTGCTCTTGCACAGTTAGCGCTTACTGTGTGCGCGTGTTTGAGTGTATGAGGGATTTAACTGTGGGTTTCCCTTTTATTCAGTATATGCTTTTTTTTTTTTTTTTTTTTTTTTTTGCGCCTTGGTCACATGTCATTGTTCTTCGCTTCTAACTTTGCACTGAGGTGTCCCTGCCCTGCCCTCGGCTAACCCTGAACAGTAGAGAACCCATGGGACAGGGCTGGTGACAATTCATGTGTAAATGTTTACTCAAGGACTCTGTTATTGCATTTAAAGTTACAGTGTATATCTCTGGAGAAATAATATGTCTATCTACCTTTAGCAGCTTTTCATTGTGGACTAATGCAAGAAGATTATTACCAGAGTATTGCACCATTTCCATCTGGAATATAAAGTTAAAGAGAAAAACAAAACCGTTGTTGAACTGTGGCCATAGATACTTGTAGAGAATGGGTGCTCCGCAAGGAGCGGGGACAAGCACTTGGACATGGTTGTGACTGCTTTTGGAGGAGCTGTGGTTTGGGCTCCCACCTGTTTACAGACCTTTTGTTCTCCTTCAGACTTTAAAATAAAATTTTAAAAAAAATTAAAAAATTTAAAAGGAATAAAAAAAAGACTTCCATCGTAAAAAACAAAAACAAAAAACAAAACAAAAAAAAAACCAAGCAAACAAACAAAAAAAACCCTATTTTCAGAATGCAGATGTGTTACTTCAGAGCTGTGGGATGGGACGTGCTGTCCCCTCAGCCACCATGGACTCTGTCGATTGTCTTCACCCTTCCTCAAGGTGACGAGGCATTGTGGTCTCTGTCTTGCACATGCCGGCTAGCTCTCAGGAAAGCCAGGGCTCCCGGGGGCAGCTCCACACCATTTCATGTATTTTTAAACCCAACTCCTAGCACTGAAGATGTTATTTAAAAAAAAAAGAAAAAAGAAAAAAAAAGAGGAAAAAAAAAAAGAAGAAAAAAAAACACACACACAAAGAAGAAAAATACCTAATCTCTAATGTGTAGCAGTTACATATTTACCAAATAATGGACTCAAAAGAAATAGATGTTTGAAGAGTGCTTTATATATTAAAAATTGCTTTATGTTTTAAAGATGATCAATGTTTTGATTGTTTTGCAAGGAAGAAAGACAATGAAATAACACACCCTCAAGTATGTTTTAAAAAATATATGAACATTGTTCTCCCTGCCTATGTGGTCAGGAAACTTGTGCATTACATTTTTTAATTAGCTTTTTAATGGTTTTATCAAAACAAGAAAGCAAGTCCTGCAGGATCGCAGAGAAACGCTGGTTAGATTTCTAGAGGATCGTGAACTATGCACAACGGGGTTCATCATGTGTCCCACGGAACGGCCCTCCTCAGAGTGACTGCATCTCATCGCCATACGTGCGTCCTCGATATTTGATGTATGTATATCAAATATGTGCGTGTGTGCGTGTGCTCCCAGACGTACAGCTTGCCATGCTGCCATTTAGCACTGAGTTGTAGAAAAACTCCTAATGTTTTAAAACTGGGGATGGAAGTAAAGGATGTTTTCATTTTTTGTTTGTCCCCCCCCCCTTTTTTTTCCTTTTCTTTTTTTTAACCTTTTGAATTTAAAATGTCTGACTCTTAAGATTAAAAGAAAGTTTGTGGCGCTTAATGCCCCCCTCGTGGAATGTGGTGGTTGGACGCACACCAGAGGTTGCTTTCAAAAATACAGCGCTTTGTTGAGTCTTAATAAACTGCAGTTTTTCTTGGCTATTCACTATTGCTGGGTCTTTCGTCTGTGAGAGGCAGGGACTTCCTTTTTCACCGGGTGTGGAGACAGCCTCTGGTGTCTGCCGAGTCTGCACTTGTTCCTGCCTAGACTCGGTCTTGGCTGTGTGACTCGAAGCTATAGCCGTGCTCTTTGGTTTTGCTGAGGATGTGTGGATCCTGTCAATAGCCACTGGAAAGCATAACAGCTTCCAAGTCCTCCTGGCCTGACTGAGTGGGATGCATCTGAAGACCAGTATTGCCCAGGCCAGCAGCGGGTGGAGCCAGAGGCTACAGGTTCCCCCAGAACCACCGCCCCATACTCACTGTCACATGCCCAGTACAGGCATTAAAAAGGAGACCAGAGAGGCAGGAATGTAGCTCAGTGGTAGGGCCTTTGTGTGCAGGCACAAGGTCCTGGGTTCCATCGCCAGCACTATCTGGAAAAATCACAGTGGTATGCACTTGTAGCCCCAGTACTCAGGAGCCTGAGGAGTAGCGCTGCCTGAGTCCACAGGCTCAAGACCCCCAACGCCTTCCTAAGTGTTTCATTGATCTCTGCCCCTAAGACCATATTGGCTAACATGCACAAAACGACAGCATTGTCAGCAGGCTTGTGGGTGGAAGTAGAAACACTGGCTCAGCTCTCACCCTCTAATGTTGACCCCACCGTGTGCTGAGGATAAGTCCTGGCCTCCCACAGGGGACTCGGGAAAGAAGGGGAGCTGCTAGCTCTGCTGAGGAAATCACTGAAGGGCCCAGGCCTCGTGGGAACCCAAAGACCAGAGGAAGAACAAGACTCGGGATAACAAGCTGCCCTTGGCCCTCCAGCAATCTCCAGCTCCAGCCAGGACTTCAGCAGCAGAGCAGACCAGGGCTAGCCTAGGAGCTGCCATGACACAGATGTTTCCATCTCCTGTGGGGAAAGAAGCAGTGGCTTAGAGGATCTTGCCTGCATTTGGGAGGTGCTGTTGTCAGCCTTCTGGTGCCTTCAAGACGTCCAGGGAGTAACAGTAGGTTTTGTGGAGGTGGCACCTGCCCTGGCCATCGAGGCTGTGTGGGACTTTGACAATGAGGACAAGCAGAAAAGGCCTCATGGGACTAGATTGGATGAAGTAAGCCTGATGTCAGGGATCCAAGAAGTGGTGCGTTTGGAGCTGCCCAATCACCATACTGTTCTGACAAGACTGTGGCACAGCAGTGAAGACAGAAGGCAGGATGCCCAGCCAAGGTGGTGGGATGGGCAGAGAATGCCCGCAGAGGTGAGCCAGCCTGACTGGGGCACAAGACATGGTGGGAGCTACTGTGGGCTGGCCTAGGCTGAGTGAAGCGGACAAGACGTTGGTGGCGAGGGCTCTCCCAGGACGCTTCTTTGCAGCCATGGTACTAAAAAGACCTAGTAGGCCAGGGTGACGTGTGCCCTTATGAGCCAATGCTTCTCAGAGTCATTGCTGGTAAAGGCGTCCTCACAAGCTCTTCTCCTGCTGGCAATAAGGGAAGCATGCCTGGCCTGAATACGACCAACCCATCCTTGTAAACAGTCTTCGGCTTAGGTGTCTGCATATGACCGATGATGCTAGATTTCACCCAGAGCAGTTATCAGCCTTGACCTTTGTGTACTCCTTAAGGATCTTTGGGGTAGCAGAGGTGCAGGTGTTTTCAAATCCCATGTGCTTCTCTGTGCAGCCAAGGTCAAGAAGCAGTGTTGACAAGAATGGTCATGCACACCTGCCATGCCAACATTAGGGAGGTGCAAGCAAGAGGATCAGAATTTCAAGGTCATCCTTGGCCAGCCTGGACTACATGAGACCCCCACACTGAGTTCTGTATTCATTGTGAAACGATACTACCTGCTAAACAGAAATTTGCAGTTTCCAAGTCTGGAGTTGATTTCATTTGCCAGCTACAGCTAACTCATCCTCCCTCCCTTTCTATGCCTACAAAACACCAGTGAGGGTGGCTTTGTAGAAGAGCCCATCCCAAGGTAAGGAATGGAGGTCAGGAGAGGCAAAGCACGGTCAGCTGGGGTGCTGACTGCCTGTGTGACACTCGGTGCTCCGGCAGTGCCTGGATCCCTGTGGTGGGAGTCACTGCACACCTGGATCTGGGCTGACAGAAGACAGTGTTGGTGATTCTCTGCAACACCCTGGGTGTCTTCCTTCCCTTCTCAGTGGCGTGTCCTGACCTTGTGAAGCAGAACTGATGACAGTAAAGGTCATCACCCACTGACGTCTTCATTTAGTACGGAATCCAGTTGGTTAGGCTATCTGGAGTGCCCATGCGGACTGGAGACACAGAGCACCATCCAGCCCAGATCAGCTGTGACAGCTTAGGAACTCTGCTGAAACACCCATGGTATCCACTTTAATGTCACAGGAGCCTTCCATGTTGCTGGCCTTAGAGGTGGCACTGGACCAGCTGGGGGATGGCTGGTGTCCAGCAGGGACTTCTGATTCCATGGGCAAGGGTGGGCCCAGCACTGCTGGCATGTCCCGGCCCAAGGTGACCCCAAAAAAACTGCAGACTTGGAGGATGCTGTGGCTGTTCAGTCTCAGGAGCGAGACCAAGCTCCTGTAGCTCAGCTCACCCAAGTCATCTCACCCCACACCATCCACCTTAGACTGGGTACTGCTGGTCCCTCTACTGAGGGGCTGCTCACCCAAAACACTGAGTCATCCCTTAGGAGTTCTTCCCTAAATCTGGCCCCTCTTTTACCCACATAACATCACCACTGATTGGTTTCTCACCTTTTGTCTTGCCCAGAAGAATGTGGCCACTTCCCCTCTGCCAGTAGAGGCTGACCTTCACTTAGCCCCAAGCCCTGAGATTCCCATGAAAGACCTAGTGGGTCTTAAGCACCTGGCAGAAGCAGGTCACAAGCTCATCAAAAAACACAAACCCATATTGCAAAACCCATTTAATCAGAATAAAAAAACAAAGTTGGGGAAAGGGAAAGCCAGGGGTGGTGGCATATGCCTTTGATTCCAGTACTTGGCAAGGAGGTCTCTGAGTTCAAGGCCAACCTGGTCTACATAGTAAACTCAAGACAGCCAAAGCTATATAGATAGATAGATCCTGTCTTCAAAATAAATAAAAAATGTAAAAACCCAGGGTGAGTGAGTCCCAGATAGGACAGGGTCCCTAGGAGTACCCCCACATCCTTGCTCCGTCACCTTGGGAATTTTGTGGAAAGAAGTCACTCTACTGTGATGTCCTGTGGGGACCTCAGGTCCAAGTCTCTGCCTGAAGGGTCATGGTGACTGGGGGTGCAAGGTTCCTTTCTGTCCCCTCCATCCACAAGCAGGGCAGTTGCTGTGGTAGCCTCCTGAGTTCTGCCAGAAAGGAGAGTAACCCCAACCAACGTCAAAGTCCCTCCGACCTCTGTGGTTAGGGGCTCAGTAGATGCCCTGAGTCCCAGGTGATACATGTCAGGCCTTCCAGGTTGAAGGCTCTAGGGCAGTGAAGACCAGACTGGTAGAGTCGTGTGAAGAACCACCAGGGATTACATTCCAGGCATTTGCCGGGGAGAGCTGCTGGACCACATGAACTGGCCACTTTGTGGTCCAAAACTGGAGTATCAGTGGGCAATCAGTATTGTGTGGAGCAGCTTACAGTAACAGTCCCCTCAGGAAAGGCCTGTCATCAACACAGGGGATCTAGGGACACAGCACGTATATCAGCTGTGAGGACCACATGGAGCCAAGACCCTACTACTACTAAGGAAAACTGCAGTCTCTGAAAGGCACAGAGGCAGGGTTGTGTGTCTGACCTTGGGTTCCCCTACAAGACAGCCTGAGGCCCATGATGACTGGGTGTTCTGAGACGCCTCCAGTGCAGGACATCAGCCTCACTGTGTCCTGCAGAGAGGAGCCCTGGTGATTTCAGCTGAGGACCGGCAGACATGGCCTGCTGGGGATGGGTGGACCTCCATGTGGGTGTGCAGTGTGGAAACATGGTGTCTGTGCCCCATTCAGCAGGGAGAAGTTCTCCTGTTGTCAAGGTCGCTGTAAAACTTGTCTGTGCCTGGAGAGATGGCTCAGACTTCAAAGGCACTTGTTGCTTTTCCAGAGAACCCAGGTTCAGTTCCCAGCACCCACATGGTAGCTTAACTCCAGTTAGAGGTAATCCGATGCCCTCTGACCTCCGCAGGCACACACATGGTGCACAGACATACATGCAAGGAAAACACCACCCACACACCTCAGTTGTGCCCGAAAGTGGCTCTCCATCCCTGGGGGTATCTCAGCAGCCACTCCCCTTTAACTGACATGGCAGGGACACTGAAGGCAGAGGGTGAGACAAGCAGGAGCTCACTCCTGGAGTCCAGAGGTGCCTCACCAAGGAAGCACCACGGCAACAGAGGAGTGCCACTTTACACCACCCTCCCTCTCCCAGCCGCTGGCACAGACCTCTACTCACCTGCTCCGCTCCCCATCCTCGTAAACAGAGTGAAGCTTGTTGATCAGGAAGATCTTGTCCTCTCCCTCCTGGAAAGGCCAGAGCACAAGCATGAGAAGACAGAAGTCCATCCCTCCACCCCAGAGTTGGCCTGTTCTAGACTTCCTGTGGAGCTCATACTGTCTCCTTAATAACAATGTTTTTAGTTCTGATCCCTTCTGGTGGCCCACGTATGTTACATAGGGCCCCAGACACACCTAGGTCCTGAGAGTACTGTGTGAACCTGCTGTTTCCCATACCTTAAACAGCAGGCTACCTGCCCACTCTTTGCTGAGGCCTGACTACGTCACGCCTGCTCTCTGCTTAACCCCAGTCACACAGAAGTGGCTCACACCAAGCCCAGTACTCAAGCACCTGAGATAGGAGGATCACTTTGAGATTAAGGTTAGCCTGAGCTACAAAGTAAGACCCTATCTCAAAAACAAAAACCAGGGCCGTGGAGATGGATCTGCAGAAAAGCTCCCAGAACCCACAAAGAAGTGGGAGAACCAACTCCACAATCACTTAAAAAAAACAAACAAAAAAAAAACTTTATTTAGCTGGAAGGTGGTGGCCCACTCCTTTAATCCCAGCACTAGGGAGGCAGAGGCAGGAGGATCTCTCGAGTTTAATGAGGCCAGCCTGGTCTACAGAGCAAGTTCCAGGAAAGCCAGGGCTACACAGAGAAACACTGTCAAAAAAGAAAAAAGGATTGGAATTGTAGCTCAGTTTGTAGAGTGCTTGCCTAGCATACAGAAGACCCTGGGTGCAATGCTCAGTACCACATAAACAAGGCGTAGATCAGAAATCCAAGGTCATCTCAGTACACAAGACAACCTGTGAAACCCTATCCGCAAAAGCAACAGCAAACAGGTGTGCCAGGGGAGCCCCTGGGCAGCACTCACGTTCCGGATCTGCTCCTTGAGCAGGCAGATGACCTTCCGCTGCCCTTTCACCACCTGGATGTTGAGGTAGATGACAGCCCTGAGGAAATGGGGGCTCAGGCTGAAGGCCGAGGGCAGGGCCAGAAAAGCACAGGGCACTACCTCAGACCAGCCTCACTGCCACCCCCGCCTCGTAAAACTCACAACAGCAGGGCTGACATGAGGAAAAGGAAGAAAGTGTTCTCCACCAGGAAGTGGTGCAACCAGGGCAGCCAGGAGGCCCCGGAGCCAGCATGCTCCAGGCGACGCACCCAGACTGTGCCCGCCTCGTACATGGTGTTCAGAGTCCGGAAGGGGCCACAAATGCTTGAGGGCTTCACTCTGGAGAAAAGCGGGACAAGAATCCCTGAGGCAACAGTCCCACTCCTCAGCTAGGACAAGGCATGTCCTGTGCCATCCCAAAGCCAAAGAACCAGGCCTGTACTCACTGCCAGACAGCATAGCAGAGGAAAACAGCCGCACCCAGAAACGACGGGAAGCAGAGCAGGGTGAGGAAGACGGTGCTCATGTGAGACGCCAGCCAGGGTCGGCGAGGTGCCTGGCAGTTGGCCATCAGGCTTGCCTGGGGACAAAGGCTGTGAGTTGCATTCTGCCGAGGCCACCATGCCCTGCCCCCCAAGCACCTTTCCCCCACCCTCATATGATTAATACTACTTATCAACCTGACTGGCTCTGGAGTCACCCAGTAGACAAGCCTCTGGGCACCCCCGTGAGCATTCCTAGAGTCACTTAACAGGTGGGAAGACCCACCCTGAATGCTGGCGGCGCCATCCCACTGTCTGGGTCCCCGACTGCAGAAAACTGGAAAGAGCTGAGCACCAGCATTCGTGTCTGCTTCCTGACTGAGGATGCCACGGGACCAGCTGCCTCCCGCTCCCACTGCCTTCCCTGTCACAGCGAACTGCCCTCTAAAGGAGCCAAAATAAACCCAACACAAAAAGGGAGGAAAGGGACAGGTGGGCAAGGCTGAGCCTGCAGCCAGGTCCCACGCCAGAACCCAGGACAGGCAGAGACAACACTCTGGATCTGTACCGCCCGTATCAGCCTGGTGAGTACTCCACCTCCAGTGTGGAGGACCAGAAGGGGGCCCAGAACCAGTGGGGACCAAAGTCCTGGCTGTTAGACCCTGAGCACACTAACTAGGGAGAGGGACCCAGCGTGACTCCCAAGAGACAGCAGATGTCTCCAGCCTGCCTAAGATAGGGTTGTCATGGAGGAGAAGCCCAGTACCTCAGGCCTACCCTACTGCCAAGTTACCTACTCTGTGTGTGTGTGTGTGTGTGTGTGTGTGTGTGTGTGTGTGTGTATGTGTGTGTGTGTGTGTCAGAGAGAAAGAGAGACAGGGTTTCTCTGTGTATCCCTGGGTGTCCTGGAACTTGCTTTGTAGACCAGGCTGGCCTTGAACTCAGAGACTGTCTGCCACTGCCTCCCGACTGCTGGGAATGCTGGGATTTAAAGTGCCCATCACCACGCCCAGCTCACATTACCTTCTTAACGTAGAAAAGGAAAAGCAGCCTGAGTATCTGCACTGCGGGCAGGAGCGGTGAGAAGAGAACACCCAGCCTGTGGACGGACGGCAGCAGGCAGGGCTGGTGAGCATCCGCCCAGCCCTGCCCAGAGAGCCACCCCCCCCAGGACCCTCTGCCCACCCAGAACCAAAAGGCTACTGCTGTGCCCAGGGGAGGAAGGCAGTGGCTAACAGCCAGCAGGAGGCAGGTGAGAGACCCTCACCAGGTCAGTGTCTGCCCATAAATCAGGTCCAGAACATTCCGAGCAATGTCGAACTCGGGCTTCTGCCTCCTTTTCAGCTTCTTCTCTGAGATGAGCCTGGACAGAGGAGTCCCTGAGAGATGGGCAGGGGAGACTCTCATCCCCAGGGCACCAGGCAGGGGCCACCTGCACCAGGGCAAGCCAGCACCCAGCAAATGTCAGGAGAGACAGCAGCCATCTGGGCCTAGGGGCTGTCACCACAGAAGCTCTTCCCGGCCTCTTCTCTAAAAGAGACACCAATCTCAACACATAGCATCAAGTGTTGTACTGCTTTAAAACAAAACAAAACGTTGGAATGGGCAAGGTGGTCCCTGTCTGAAATCCCAGCACTCAGGAGGAGGCTGAGACAGAAGGATTATGAGTATAAAGCCAGCCAGGACTCTGTCTTAGAAAACACAAAAATAAACAATAAATCCTTACGTTTTCTCAGCACTCAAGAGGCCAAAAGCAGCCCATGCGACACAGTGAGACTGTGTCAAGAAACCAAAGGGTAGCAGGGCGTGATGGCACATGCCTTTAGTCTCAGTGCTCAGCAGGCAGAGGCAGGTGGATTTCTGAGTTTGAGGCCAGCCTGGTCTATGTAGGGAGCTCCTGGCCAGCTGGGACTACAGAGACCTTATCTAAAAAAACAAAAACCAAGGACTTCTGGGTAGGGTGGTACAGGCCTGTAACCTCAGCTACTCAGGAGGGTGAAGTAGAAGGATCAAACTTGAAGGCTAACCTGGGAACTCATCCAGGTTGACCTCAAACGAAAAGAAGGGCTGCTAAAAGGACTCAGCAGGCAAACATGCTGACTGCCAAACCTAGTGGCCTGAGTTCAGTCCCCAAGCCCCACATGTTAGGAGAGAACTGACCTCCACATTCCCCAGTGCACTCGTGCGCACACACGTGCACACACACACACGCACAAACACAATAAATGTGTAAGAAAAGTTTTAAAAGGGGTATCTTATTCTTCAACTATCCTTCAAGCCATGTATTCTCAAAGAAAACACACAAGGACCCAACGAGCACTCAGAAAGCTAGATTCCACACCCCGTGACATTTTAAAGATGCCCCCTCCCCTCTCTTCCTGTCTCTGAGCAATGCTGAAACTACCCCACATCCTGCCGCCCACCATCCTCCTTGGTGCAGGGACTTCTCACGGGCTGGCAGGGGTAGCCAGCACACATCAACCCTGTCCCACCTGTCCCTGACTGACCAAGGTGGGAACCAGAGGCCCAGAGGGCAGGGTGGGAGGGCCAGGTGGAGCCTCCTCACCTCCATACGAGCTCCCCAAAAAGAGAGTCCAAGAGTGTGAAGATGAAATCCACAACCAGGAAGCGGTACAGTTCCTGGCCCACAAAGTCCTCCCAGCACTGGCCCTGCAAGGTGGCCACCCTGTGGCCCAGCCAGTGATAGCAAAGCACACCCAGGACAGCCATCTTCAGGATGAGACTCCTGTACAGGTAGAGGTTGTGAAGGCTGAGGGGAATGCCAGGTAACAGACGCTCCAAGGAGCCCTACCCAGCAGCCCACGCAGCCACACACCTGCAGATGGCCATGTATACTTCCAACACAGGGGAGTCGTGCCGCTCCAGAGTGGCCAGACCACGGAACAGGTAAGAAGCACCCAGATTAAGGACACTGACCACCAGGGGCAGGGCCAGCAGCTCCAACCCCTGGCCACCAGCAGCAGATCTCTATGAGGACAGTGAGAGGGCTCAGTCAGAAAAGGTACACCACCCACGGGGACATATTCGCTGTGGCTGTCCTGTAAGAGCAGGCACTACAGGAAGGGTCTGGCTGGAAGATGGGAGCAACGTGGCAGGTAGCATCCCCCCCCGAAAACACACAGCTTGCCCCAGCCTTCATTTCCAACCACACAGGAAGCAAGGAGGAGTGTGAGAACCATGGGCGTAGTGGGGTTGTGGGGTCTCAGTCCCAGGACATTCTGTCCCTTGCCTTACCTGAACCATGACCTCTGAGAAGGTGAGGACAGCCACTGCACAGCCCATCGTGGTACCCAGACACAGCAGCCATCCCAGGCCTAGCACGACAACCTGCCCCAGCTGCCCACACGCGCTCCGGGGGCGCTTTCGCAGCTGCCACTCAGCCAGCAGCTCCTGCAGGTGGTGGGCAGTGCGCTCCTGTTACTGGATCCCAAGGCGACATGTGCCCAACACACAGGCAGGCTGCCGAAGCCCCTCCCTTCCCCAAAGAGGCCCAGGCCACACCTGCTTCTGCTGGGACCCAGGGAATGCAGGATGGCTGCCACCTTGAGGCCCCATCCTCATCCCTTCACCACAGACCAGTCTCCAGGAATCCCAGGTGCCGAGCCTGCGGCCTTCGCCCATCCTATGGGCAAGGGTGGCCTCGAGCCAACCAAAGCCCCCCGGGGTGAGGACACCTGTCCCCAGTAGAAACTCCCATGGGTCACAGCAGCATGAAACCCCAGAAAGGTAGAGAATTCCCATGAGGCCCAGCCAGCCCTGGGACCTTGAACCTTGTACAAAGGATTTGACCAATGCTTCAATTACCCCTTGTAGTCCTTAGCCTCTGGCTACTGCAGTCATTAAATGACTATAAAGGAAGCCATTCTTAGCTGCAGCAGATGGGTTCAGGACAGGACAGAGTGCCCTGAGAAAGGGACCCCTGTCCTCCTCTTGGCTCAAGCCTAAGCACATTAGAGCAGTTTCTGTAACTCCAGTCCCTGGAGCTCAGGGCTAACACCACAGAGGCAACCCAACCGAAGTAAGGGTGTAAGAGCATCAGACCTGCCTGGACACTCTTAGGGAAAGATCACCAGGCAGGACCTCAAGGCCAGCTTGCAGACACCACTCCCAAACATCCTAAGGGGATCCAGGCCAGGTCTGCAGCAGCTGAATACTAATTTGGTTTCAAGGGCCATGTGTGGGCAGGTCGCTACTCACCTTCAGCTGAGTGCAGATGCTGTCCTGCTGGACACGGGAGGCCCGCTTCTGAGTCACCTTGTAGTCCCAGGAGCAGAAGACCATAAGAGCATGGATGCCTTTAGTACTGCCAACCCGGTAGCTCTCCCCGAAGGAGTGGGACATGCTAGCAAGCAGTAGAGACAGGCAGAAAGTGAACAACTGGAGGGATGGGTAGAGAGGTAGATGAGTAGGTAGGTGGATAGGTGAAGGAGTGGATAGATGATGGATGGATGGATGGATGGATGGATGGATGGATGGATGGATGGATTGACATGTGGATAGATTGGTAAATGGGTTGGCAGGCAGATAGGTGGATGGACAGATGGATGGATGTACTGACAGGTAGAAGAAATCACTAAAAAATAGAGAGATGCAAGGATAGTTCGATGGATAAGTGGGTGGACAGATGGACAAGTTGATGAATATAGATGAATGAATGGGTGTGAGTGGGAGAATGAATAGATACATGGGCAGAAAAAAAAAGACTAATCAAGATAAAAGAGATGGATAGGTAAGTGGATGGGTGGTGGGTAGATGGACCAGTGGGAACTTGAGTTGGTAGATAGATGTAGGGAAATGGATGGGTAGGTGGATGGGTGGGCAGACAAGGAGCTATAGATGACCAGCGGATAGAAGGATGGTACTCAGAGTGAGGGCCACATGGTTGAGGTCATTACCTATATACCAGAGTGATGCAGGTCAAGAAGAAGACAGCCCCCACTGTGAAGAGGTAGGCCAGTGGCATGTTATAGGGCAGACTGCCCAATCTGGGGCTGCACTGGTCACTTTCCCATGGGGAGGCACATGATTGGCTCAGCGTGATGTTACTGTAGTAGCCGTAGTACATGACGGTGTGTGTGAACCAGCCCTGTCAGGAGGCCAAACAGAGTCAGGGATCCCCTGACCCCCCCAGCCCAGTGGTTCTCAACCTCCCTGATGCTGTGATCCTTTAATTCAGTTCCTCATGTTGTGGGGACCCCCAACCATAAGATGATTTTGTTGCTACATCATAACTGTAATTTTGCTACCGTTATGAATTGTAATGTAAATATCTGATATTCAGGATATCTGATATACAATCCCCAGAAGGGTTGTGGCGACCCACAGGTTGAGAACCACTGCCCTAGCCTATGCTCAGGCCTCCAGGAGGGGAAGCCACCCATAAGGACACCTAGGGACAGGCAGGAGCCCACCAGGGAAGCTGGGACAGGACGGGCACAGGACATGGAAGGAGCTGAAGACCTCACCCCGCCTGTGAGGAGTTCTAGACCAGAGAAGGTAGGGGCCGGGCCTGACGGGTCAGGTGGGAAGACAGCTTGCACCCCCACGAGGAAGGCCAGCAGAGGAAGCAACATCAGTGTGTTGAAGGCCAACAGGGTCTTGAGGAAGAGGAAGTAGGAGAGGACACTGGAGCCAAACTGGCCGCCGATCTGCTTCAGAGCATAGTGCCACGGCCTGGCAGCATACAGACCTGAGAGCAGAACCAGCCCCAGGCTGTGCAGGGCCTGTAGGGATAGCTGCAGGTCAGTCCTGAGGTGCTGCGATGCCAGGACCGATCGTGCACAGCCCCAGGAAAAAGCCAGGGTCCGAAGTGCCTTGATTGGACAGCAATAGGATAGGGTATCCCCCACCCCAGCCAGCCACACCCACAGCAGACATTACAGCTCAGAGCTCCTACCAGAATGCAGCTGTATCTGAGCCTGCTGCAGCAGGAAAAGATCCCACCTCGGCCCTGCTGGCCCCTCCGCTTTCCCTTTGGGCTCCAACTTTTCTCTCTGGGGACAGAGACAATGCCCAGACCATAAGTGCCTAGACTACAGAGGAATGTGCCTGCCTCCGGGCTCAGGGAGGCCAGTTGGGGCCATGGGGCACTCACCGAAGCCAGCGCTTCTCACCCAGGCTCAAGGGCATGTTCCGGACCATGTGGTCCCGCTGGGCCACCGACAGACCCTGAAGCTCCTTCACTAGTAGGCTCCGCTTCTCTGCCCAGAGGAAGAAGGTCCCTCAGTACCCAGCATCCTTCCCGCTGCATACTGACCAGGGCCCTGGGCAGCCACCAGCCCAACACAACCCTCTAAGACCCTTACAGCCAAAGCCAGACCTGGGCCAGCAGTCCAGACGGCCCTCCCTCGTTCTTCCTACCCCTTGGGCCCAGGAGCCCCTTCTCCCATCCCCAGATCCTGGCATCCTCCCAGCTGTGATCAGTCCTTATAAAGTGGAGGGCAGGGTTTGACCTGATCAAGGTACTCTGGGACTCAACATAAAGAGTAGCGAGGTGCTGGAGAGATGGCTCAGAGGTTAAGAGTACTGGCTGCTCTTCCAGAGGTCCTGAGTTCAATTCCCAGCAACCACATAGCGGCTCACAACCAACTATAATGAGATCTGGCGCCCTCTTCTGTCCTGCAGACATACATGCAGACAGAACCCTGTATACATAATAAATAAATTAATTAAAAAAAAAAGTTCCAGGACCCAGTGGTGGTTCCCTTCATCTTAGAGGTCCTAAGTCTGTCACAACAGATGCACAACGTCACAAGGGAATGGGGGACAGGTTAGCACTGCCTCCTCATGGCCGCCATAATGCCAGTGTTAACTGTCACTTGATAGAATCACCTGCAGATGGGTCCCTGGCATGCCTGGGAGGGATTATGTTGATTAATCAGTGTGGGAAGACCCATTGTAACCATGAACAAGAATAGGGGACCCTGAACAATATAAAATGGAGGAAACGGCCGAGTCCCAGCACTCATCGGTGGATACCCATGACCAGCTGCTTCAAGCTCCTGCCACCTGATGACCCACACTGGACCACAGTTTGAACTGTGAGCCAGAGTAAACACTGTGTCCCTTACGCTGCTTTGGGCAGAGCATTATCACCACAACTGGAAGAGAAACTGTTGCCACACTCCCACAAAATAAACAGACACCACCTTCATCGCTACGACCAGCCCATGGGGGTAATTTCCCAACTCCAAATTTACACATAAATAATCTTCAGAGGCAGGAGGACCTGAGTTCAAGGCCAACCTGAGCAGGCCTTGACCCTGTCTTCAGTCACCAAGGGCTGGAGACCCAGACCAATGGTAGAGCGTTTGCCTAGTACTTACAGTCCCATCCACAGAGAGGGAAGATGAGGGCAAGGGAGAGCAGACCGTGGAGAAGGCAGAACATGGCCGGGTGGCCGAGTAAACAGAGAAGCTGGGGCAGTCCTGAACTTGGAACCCATGCCACTCTAACCCACTCCCACCGTCAGGAGCCTCGGGTTCTCCCGTTCCTAAGCCTCTTCACACTGGGGAGAACGGGGGACGAACCCAGGTCTGCTCCAGGCTCAGGCCCTGGCACTTGCCTCCTCCGCTGCTCTGTGGTCACTTGGAAGGCTCCCTGGTGGCCCCCCTGCAGTGTCTTCTCTAAGTGCTTGGATCTGAGCTTCTGTCTCCCGCTCACCCATTTATTCACCCAGCGGGAAGAAAGCTAACAGCTGTGACTGGGTTACGGACCACCATCACGCGCTGGAAGCCTCCCAACACTCAGTGACGGATGTTGGGGGTGGGGGGTGGGCATACTGACCCTGGGACCTTTGTACCTCGTGTCTGATACCCAAGGGGCCTCACAGCCAGGCAGCCCTCAGGCAGCAGACTAGGTTATTCACTCACCATCATCCTCCAGGATTGTGTGGTCCAGCTCCAGGTCATACAGGCGAAGGCTGGGCCGGGCAGAGCGCACCACATTGCCCAGCAGGGGCCGGCTGCTCCTGTGCCGGAGCCTCACTGTGCGGTTGTAGTACTGGGAGATGATGGCCCCACGGCTGCGGCCTTGGAAAACAAGTGGCAGGGGAGTAGACGGCAGGGACAGGTCTGGCCGTAAGTCCCTCTGGACAGATCTCAGCACCAGGCTTCCCCGTCCCTCAGCCCTTCCCAGGGCTGGAGGAAATCCCTTTGCCAGAAACCCAGGAGCCTCTGTTTGTCTGGTTGGTTGGTTGGTTTTTTCGAGACAGGGTTTCTCTGTATAGCCCTGACTCTGTAAGTCCTGGAACTCTGTAGACCAGGCTGGCTTTGAACTCAGGGATCCGCCTGCCTCTGCCTCCCGAGTGCTGGGATTAAAGGCATGCACCACCACCAGCGGCTCCAAGAGTCTATATTTAACCCTATGACAAATGCTGTCATGTTTAGAATCCAGCAAGGGTGAGTATGGCACAGGGCTGTGCTGGGCTTCAGGCCCCAGCAACAGGGAGGCTGGGAGCCCAGAGGAAACGACTCTAGGTTGACACCTAGGCCGAGCTCAAAGTCAGAAGAAGGGCAGAGGGTCCCACTCACCAATGGTGCGACTAGGCATGCTGGCCAAGATGCGGAGAGTGGCCGTGCTGTGGGTGGGGGCACCTTCAGGCCTTGGGAGGGTCTGGTAACCGCTGCCTAGGAATGGTGGAGACACGGCAGCTGTCTCACCCAGCCCAGCCACCCCAGGCCTGTACATGCAAGGGCAGACAGTCCCAGGTCGGAGTGCAGGCCTGAGCTCACCTGGGGCCAAGGGCAGCAGCTCCAGCCCCTCCTCCGCCACCCGAAGACTCTGCTCCTGAATGAGCTGGTGGAAGGAGTCATGGACTTCACTCTCTTCATAGGGGCTGGGCTCCCGACTGCTAGGGAGGAACCAGTGTGGGAATCCATGGTCCAGCCCTCTCCCACTTCCAGAAGGCTTCACACCAGACAGGGCGATACATCCCAGACCACCAGCACCAGGGTACTTACTCTTCGTCCCCTGTGGTCTCTGGGACATCGAGGACTAAAGCCAGTGGCTGAGCCATGGCTGTGGTACACCCTCAGCCCGGCTGCAGACCTAAGAGAGCTCAGAGACTAGATGCAGCCAATGGGACCCCCACACCATCTGTTGAGATAAAACCATCTTTCAATCCCTGGCACCCACTCCCTGGGGGCCCATACTTAAGACACAAACACACTACAGGAATCCCCAGCCTGCCCCCCATCCACAGCTAAACAAATAGTTAATTAATGAGTGGCCCCAAATAACATTCTCGCCCGCAACGGGCTGTGGGGGAGGAAAGAAAACAGGAAGGAAGCGTGAGGCCACAGTTCCCCACTGGTTTCCTAGATGTCACTAGTCCCAGGAAAATGGGAGAGGTCTGTCCTCAGGCCTGGCCCTAGGGCTTCAACTCTCGTAGAGAAGAGGAAGGGGCCGGGAGGCTCAGAGAACTTCCCGTGCCCGCCCTATGACCCCAAAGTGCTTTCTCTCGCAGGAAGTGCTGCCCGGCAGCCGCAAAGCCCTGCCCCCAGCACCGCCCAGGCAGCCTCCACTCCACACACAGGACTCCTTGAAACCCACCCCCAACGCTCGGGTCTGGGTGTTCCAAAGTTCTCATGTCCCCGGGAGACTGACTCCCTACATTCCCAACGCAGCTTAAAGCTGGAGGAGGAAGCTGAGCCGACACAAGCTCCCTTTGTCCAGCTCTGTCACCCCGCACAATTGCAGCCAGAACATTGTAAGGGGCTTATTGTCCTCCTGGCCTAAGGCCCTAAGGGAGGGCGCAGAGGAAAGAGCAGCCAATCACCTGACTCCTGCAGCATTGCCCCCCAGAAGGCAGGCCCAGCCCTGTCCTCAGATCCTCCCAGTCTTCACCTAGAGAACTCGCAGTTTTCGGGGAGCTCTCCCGACGGCCGAGAGTTCCCACGTAACCCCGATTCGCTCCAGGCACGCCCCCGCCCGCGCTGCAGTGGAGCACAGCAGGGAGGGGCCGGCCCGGAGCCAGCCGGAGGTGGCACCGCCCGAATGGAAAGCAGCCAGGCGAGGTGGTGCCCACTTAGTTTCAGGGTCCCCTCCCTGGCCACAGTACTTCTCAGGCTCCAGGCCGATGCTGGGAGTGCGCTGAGGCTCCCGGCCGGCCGGGACTCCGGATCTGCTTGGGCCCCAGGTCTTCAGTCCCGCCTGGGGCGGGCCAGGTGTGCGCAGTTCCGGGACGCATCATCCTGCGCCCTGAGCCAGACGGAGAGAGGCCCGCAGCGGCAGTTCCCAGGAACCCGCACCCAAGATGTCATCCCCCTGGCGGGAGCAGCCGCCCCCACAGCCGAGCTGCGACCCTGCACCCGGGTCCAGGCGCCTAGCTGGAGGGAAGGAGCCCCGCTCCCCGAAGTGGCTCACCTGTGCGCGTCCCCGCCCCGGGGAACCGCAGTTTCAGCTCCACCAGCAGAAGAGTCATTAACAGACAGTAATTAAGGGTCTAGGGGGCAATGTTTGACGGTTCCCAGACTGGCAGCTGGAGGTAGCCTCACCACCCGCCCACATGGCAGCGGGCCCGGAAGGTCACATGACCTCCTCCCGCCCGCGGGTAGGCCCCGCCCATCCAAAACAGTGCCCTGTGCCCGCCAGCTTCGGACTCCACCCCAGCGCTCCACCCTGAATTCTGAGCAAAGTGGGCGCGGCCGAGTATTTGGATATAGACAACCCCTAGGTGGAGTCCCTAATTTTTTTTTAGGACTCAGTTTCTCCAAGTTTCTAAACGAGACGGTATTTCCAAGCCCACTCACGTCCCGGGGTAACTTACCAGTCCCCAGCCTCTCCACAGGGATTGGGCAACCCCCTCCTCCCAGCCTCGGTTCACTGCTCCCCATCTCCGGCTAAGGAATGGGGTTACCGCCTCCTCTGCTGTGGGCGTGGTGTCTATTTCTGAAGCCAGAGTTCAAGCCGCTTCCGGTACCCACTGTCCCAAATGTGCCAATTGCCTAGTTTTCTGTGACCGAGACATAGGCAATGACCTTTCTATTTCACAGACGAGGACATTAAGGCTGAGAAAGTTTTACCAGCCTCAGGGTGTCACCAGTTGGAGCAGGGGACTTGGCCACCAGAGTGCTCCATGGAGCCCCTTCCCCCATGTGACAGGCAGGGTGACCATGAGAAGGAAGTAAAAGGGAAAACCAAGCCCCCGCCCCCGCAAAAGACAACAGACGCCAGAAAGCGTGTGGGGTGCAGTGATGAGGTGAAGCCAGAGGTAATAGGGTCCGGCTGCGCTGGGGCAGTGGAGAGGGCAGTGACAGATTCTTCACAACTGTCCCTGTGTGGCTGACCCAGCTCTCCTAAGCTCCCCCTTGCACTTGCACTGAAATTTGCATGACTCTGGCCCAACTTAAAAGTCATTTCCTAGGGAGCCTTCCTGCATGAACTTGAAATACAGAGCCACTGGGCAGGGACGCGGGGAGCCTCAGGGAATCCAGAGCTGAGCTGACAAGGCCTTAAAAGAGGTGGACACGGAGGAAAGGCCAGGGCTTCCGGAACTGGGAACTGGCCAAGATGACTGCTAAAGTCGGTGAGTGACGTGCACCGAGTCGCTTCCTAAGCACTTAGGCTGGGCTTGGCGCCAGGACATACAGGAGGGCAGTGCCTGGGATGAAAGCGGGAAGTTCAGAAATAAGGCACCAGCCAGGAGTGATGGTACAGGCCTTTAATTAACCCCAGGCTTGGGCAGCTATCTCTGTGAGTTCAAGGCCAGCCTGGTCACATAGTGAATTCCAGGACAGCCAGAGCTACACAGTGAGACTCTGCTTTGAAATAACAAAAAAGAAAAGAAAAGCGCCAGCGTCCGGGAGAGCCAGCGGCTGGGTGTTCTGGAACCTCCACGTCTCACTATCACGCTCTCTGGGGCGACTGCGGAGGGCAGATAACGGATTCCTCTGCTAGGCGGGCGGGAAGGGGGCTGGCAGGAGGGGGAGGGAGCGGAGGGAGGCCTGGTGCATGCCCACCACGCCCCTCACCTGTGTCCTCCCCCTCCGATGCAGGAAGTGCACGCTGATGCAGAGGAAACTACGAGGAAGGCGGGAGTGGGTGGAGGGGAGGAGACGCTGCTTCCCCCCACAAGGGGGGTTCCTGTCACGTGACCCCACCCCACTCCCTCACAGCCCTGTCTGGTGGGTCCAGAGCTGATCGCACGGGGGAGCTTCTTGGGGAGCTCGGTCCCTTGCCCCTGTGTGAGCTGCCTGCTGTGCGGAGAGGACGGTGAGGGCAAAGAATTGAGGTCCAGGGGCTGGACCAGGTCTATAGCTTCCTCTGGGGTGGCTTGGGGGTTCCTCCTTTTCTCACGGTTGGGGATGTAGCCACGCCTCCTATTCTGGGTCCCTTAAGACCAGAGCAGACCCAGAAAGAACACACAGACGGGGCCCTAGCACATCCAAAGCTGGGGTGTTGCAGAAAGCGGGATTCTAGGAGCTTTCAGGGTTCAGGACAGGGGTGACTTCCCAAAAAGCCAATGCGCACATGGAAAAGAGTGGGGATTGTGTTTTTCCAAAGCTTAAGGTTTGTGACAGCCAATCTTCGCTTTGCCGGTGGCTCCCGCTCTCCTCTCCTCTCCTCCTCCCCTCCTCTCCCCTCCCCTCCTCTCTCTCTTGTCCTCGGGGTGTTTTTCCTCATTTGACAGGCTGGGAGACCTAGGCCTGGGTCGGAGGTGGAGTGGGACAGCCCCGACTCCGACGGCAGCAGACTTCTTTTCACTTGTGGACATGGCAGGGCCAAGGCGAAGCTCATCACCCGGCGCCCGCTGTTCCTCCTGAAAGCAAGGATCGTGCTTGTCTGTCCCGCGCGCCCCCTGGGATGTTTCGCCAGTGGTCGGTGCAGTCAGGACCGGCCCCCCGACGGCCTGACTCCCAGGCGGCGGCGGAGGAGCTGTGGGAGGAAGAAGTGGAGCGGCTGTGCGCCTCCCGGGCGCCGGTACGGATGCTGCCCTACGCCATGGCAGACAAGCGCTTCATCCGGTAAGGGGCGGCTCGCTCGCTCGCTCGGCGACACTGGATGAGCCGCGGTGGGGGCGGGGGAGCGCGCCCGAGGGTTGTACCTGTCAGATGGATGACTCGGGGGCGCCCCCATCGCCACGGTCCTACAGGAATCTGCGGGAGCCCGAGGGGGTGAAGACCTCCTGCTGGCAGCGGTGGCGTCGCCGAGGGCAGGTGGCCCGACTGCATCTGAGGGAGGCAGCGCAGAGGCTGGCCCACGGCTTCGGGCTCTGGGAGGAAGCGCTCTACGAGATTGGGGGTAGGATCCCATGCCAGCCCTCCCTTCCCACCCCCCTAGTCAGCCCTCCGAGGGCTATTGGACATACTGGACGTGAAGTCCCAGTATTGCCGTGGGCTGGTCCCCACTCACACGTATCACACAGCCCTGTGATTCTCAACGTTGGCAATCTCAAAGTCAAATAGGAGCAATGTAATTGCTACAAGGAAAAATGATATAGAAAATGGAAGACAGCTGAGCTCCCTGCTCGTCTCCCACAGGCCTCTTCGGGACGGGCATCCAGTCCTACTTCACGTTCCTCCGCTTCCTGCTGCTGCTCAACCTGCTGACGCTACTGATGACAGGCAGCTTTGTCCTGCTGCCCCTGGTCTGGCTCCACCAGCCTGAGCCAGACCCTGCCCTGAAACTGAGTGAGTGCTGGGATTGCCCTGACCCTGTGGACCTCAGCCTGGGCAAGCTGCATGGGCTAGCCTTGGACTCTGCTTGATACTACCTTCTGCACAGATGCCTCGGTGTTAGGGTAGATGCAGTGGAATTGGAAGGTTGAGTGTCACCCATGTCTTGGGGACCCTGTCTTGTTGGTCCTCTCTTCCTACTCACCAGGCCTCCAGTGCCCCGGCAGCCACCAGCCCCAGAGCGGCATTCCAAGGTTCCACAACCCACTTTGGAATATTCTAACTGGCAGGGTAAGTGGGATCTCTCCTGGCTATGTGGCTATGCTCTGGGGCATCTGGGAGACTCTAGTTTGAAGGACCCCTGCTCCTCAAGAGACATTTTGGCTTTTAAGGGAGAGTCTTACACAGACCAGCCAGGCCAGATATAGAGACTTAGGGAGATGTGCCCATGAGCCGTAGAACCCAGCTTGGAGCAAGAGACAAATGAAGAAAGTGTCCAGGCCTCTAAGATAAGCACGCGCGCGCGCGCACGCACACACACACACACACACACACACACACACACACACACACACACGCACGCGCGCGCGCGCCCGCACACCAATTCCTAGAGGCCACTGAGCCAGTATCTTAAGTCCTGGACCCAAATCTGTATGACATTGGGTAAGTCACCTAGCTTCTTTGAGTGTCTGTAAAGCAGGGATATTTTAGGCCAGGCACAGGGGTGCGTTCCTGCAAACAGTACTGAGGAGGCCGAGGCAGGAGGGTCACAAGTCCAAGGCCAGCCTGGGACACACAAGGAGGATAAGCACTTAGAACAGGGCCCAGCATGCCACCTGCATTCACATGTCCTCACTGTGTCCCCAGGCCTTCAACAACACCTATCTCTTCTACGGTGCCTACCGGGCAGGGCCAGAGCACAGCTCAGCGTACAGCATCCGCCTGGCTTACCTCCTCAGCCCAATGGCTTGCCTGCTCCTCTGCTTCTGTGGGACATTGCAGCGGTGAGGGAAGACCCCCCCAAGTCGCCTACAGGCCCCCATCCTTGGCCATCCTTCATCAGTTGGCAGATAGATCCCTGCGCAATGAGGCTCGCCCTGGCCCCCAGCCTGCCTCCTATACAGTGAGGCTGGTACCCAGGAACAGGGGTCCCTGCCCCAACTTTCTGAGGCCAGAATCCCAGCCAAACCACTGCCAAGGGTGGAGAGTGGAGGAACCCCCACAGCAATCCTTCCTCCCCCCAGGATGGTAGAGGGGCTCCCACGGCAGCCACTCCTGGGCCAGGGCTACAGGGCGCCCCTCAGCGCCAAAGTCTTCTCATCCTGGGACTTCTGCATCCGGGTGTGGGAAGCTGCCACCATCAAGAAGCACGAAATCAGCAATGAACTGAAGGTGTGTGAGAGGCAGAGTGTGTGTGTGTGTGTCTGTGTCGTGATGAAAGTGGTGGGTGAGTGTGAACAGGAGTGACCAGATGACAGTACGAACCAGCTGTGTATGTGAACATGCACATGTTATAAGAATGTGTGACGCAGGCATAGTGGCGAGCGTCTTTAATCCCAGCACTTGGGAGGTGGAGGCAAGTGGATCACTGTGAGTACAAGGCCAGCCTGAACTACATAGCAAGCTCCAGGTCAGCCAGGGATAGATAGTGAGACCCTGTCACAAAATAAATAAATATGTAAATGTGTCTAGGTATGATATGCGTATCTGTGATCCCAGCATTCAGGAGGCTGAGGCAGGAGGATTGCCATGAGTTTGCGACTAGTCTGGGGTACAATTTTGTAAGTGCCAGGCCAGCTAAGATTATGAGACAAGACCCTGTCTCAACAACAAGGGATTGGCAGGATGGCTCTTCAGGTAAAGGGCCTTGTTGTGACTTGGAGTTTATCTCTGG